TATTGTATTATTTTTTATTTTTTATATATTTATAATATATAAGCCTTTCAAAAGAACCAATAATAACTTATATATTAATTATATGTATTTTTATTTATATATTTTTATATTTATTTATATAACAAAAAATAGTTATAAAAAGAAAACCTTTTTATCTTTATAAAACTTAAACTTGTTCTTTATTTTTAAGTTAATAAAATAATATTTATTTTTTGAATAAATATTTGTTTTTTTCTATTTTTTTTTTTGCTAAATTACAAGCTTATTGTTTAAATTATTTTAATATATAAGAAATTAAAAACAAAATTATTATACAAATATTATAATAACAATATTTTTGAATACTTAAAGATTGATATAATATATATAAATCTTTTATATTACTTCTACTAATATAAAATAATTAAAAGAATAAAAAATATATAAACAGCTATGATGCTTGTTAAAGAACAAATTATCAAATCAGCAATTCATTGGACTTTTGTAATTATTAAATATATTAATAAAGTACTAAAAATATATTTTTCTTAATAACTATTAACAATATAATAAAATTATAATTTTTTGTAAATTATTTTATCAAATAAATTTATTTTTAATCCATATATATAACTGTCACTATTTCTAAAGTTGCAAAAATATTCTTTAATACTATCTTTTGTTATTATAGATTATCAAACAATTGTATTTGATAGGTATACAAATTTATTGGTTATTTTTAAAGAAGTTTCTTTTAACAATTAAAAACAATACTATTTATATTAACTGCTTTTTATTTATAAACTAATGAACAAATTGAATATCTAAATAAGACTTTGAAAGAAATATCAAGAAGTTATGTTACTTATAATCAAAAAATTAAAATAAATATTTATCTGCTACTAAATTTGTTTACAAAATTTTAACCAAGTTTTTACTGAATTTATATTATATATATTTCTATATATTACTATAAAAAAAAATTTAATTAATAATACAATTCTAAATTAAATATGATTTTCAATTATTTATTATATGTTATTTAATAATGTTATCATAATACAGTTTTTGAAAAATATTCAAATTCAATTTTATCATATACTCTATTTGGAGTTAGATTATAGATAACATTTTAATATAGTAGCAATTATTATATAGGAAGTTAATAATATTATATCTATTACTTTTGAATTTACAAACTATTAAAATAGTATAATTAAATTTGTTAAGAATACATTTGTGAAGACTCAAAACTATTAATTAAAATATATCAATTAATACTACTAATATTTGAAATTTAAAATTAAGGATAAAGTTTTATTTTTATCAAAAATATTAATAATCCTATAAATAAAAATTGATCTGCAAGAAAATTATTATCAAAATTTATTGGATTATATTATTTCTGCCATAGTATTACTTGCTATCTATAAATTTAATATACTATAGTTGAACAATTATTTTCATTTTATTGCTATTACTTATTATTTTGATTTAACCTGTCCAATACTTTGAAAATCTATTTGTTTTTCATATATATATCTTTGTTAAAACTATATAAGAAAATACTATCTAACTTTAAATAATAAATATTACTACTATTAATTTTTATTTTTGAAACTAATTATAAGAAATACAAAGTTAAAACAATTTTAAATAAAAAAATTATTTTGAAAAGAATTTAATACTTGATAAAATAATTAATATATTTATTACATAATACAATATAAAAATCTCTGGAAAATCTTATAAATATTAATAAAAAAATCAGAAATTTGAATTAACAAAAATATCTTATATTTTTATAATAATAATATAATATTAAAACATATATCACTAATTTGAAATACCAAAATATATTATATATTAATTAATTTCTAATTATTATATTTGAATAATAGAATCGATATAATTAATATATTATATTATTATTTACTATTATTATATTTTATATCTATTATTCTTTTATTATTATTTATATATATACGTATATAATTATATTTCTATAAAATGTTTCAGAAATTATATAAATTAATATTATATTATATATATTTTTTATTATTTTATTTATTTATATTGAAGAAAATATATATTTAAGGATTTGAATTTTATTTTAATAAAGTTTTCAATTAAGTTTTTTTCTTAATTATCTGCCTATAATATTTTTTTAATATTTTTTTATATTAAAACTTGACTTATTGTTTTAATTAATAGAAATATTTAAACTATTATATTAATTCTAACTATAACTTGGAGGCTAATCTATATAAAATAGTTATAGTATCTTTATTTGTTTAGATATTCAAACTATTTCTAGATAGTTAAACATTATTTAAAACTTTGATATAGATTTTGAAATCTTTTTGCTATATTTTTTGAATAGTATTAAAAATATAAATTAGAGATCTTTTTTAAGTCTTGTATTAAACTCTTCCTAGCAAAGAAATATATATATTATTTTAGTGAAATTATAATTTTGTTTTTAAGTCTAAAATTATAATAATTATTTTATCTTCTCAAAAATAATAATAATAATAATTTTGTTATTTACTTATTTTATAAAATTATTTTAATAATTTTGATTTTTATATTAATATATATATTTTTTATAATAATCTTATTTTCAAATAGAAAATTCTTTTATTTTAATAAATTATTTAGGTTTTGACTAATTTCTTTGTTACACACTATTTATTATTATTAGATTTTTTAAATATTGATTTTATTTTTATATTTTTAATTATTTTTAAAGCAAATATACAGTATTTTAATACTTTTAAAGATTTTCTTATATTATTTTTTATTATTTTCATACTGTATATATATTGTATTAAACTCTATAATAAAATTAATTATATAAGTTTTTTATTTTATTTTATTTTTTTTGTAGCTTTTAATTATATTAAATATAATTAATTTTGTAATAAATCTTATTTCATTACTTTCTTTTTTATACCTATTTAATTATTTCTACTTTTCCGTTTTATTATATTTATTATATTGTAATATTCTTTGTTATAGTATTTCTTTTTCATTAATAAAATTTTTTAAATAAAATTTTTTAATTTACTTCTTTAGATTTTTACGACCCTTATTATTAATTAAGTATTATTGTTAAATCTTTTATTTTAATTAATAATTTTTTCGGAAATTTTTGATCACTCCTCTATATTATATAATAATTATCACTTTTCCTTATGAATTATTTGAAGTTTGAATATATATATACTGTATATACTGTATATTTTCCCACACGAAAACATGAATGCATGTAAATAATCTTTTAAGAATCATTTTAAATTTCTAAAATTATATCTCACTCTTAGGCCCATAATAACCATGCCATTGTCCTTCCTTAAAACCCCAAGCTTCATAAAACCAATTCTTGTAGATATCCAGTGATGAAGTCCAATCGCGTGCTTGATCCCAGGTTTGATTTTTTTGATCCATGATCCAACATCCTTGAAAAATCTCTTTTTTTGAGAGTAAACCTGGAGTTGTCGAATTCCGAATGATCTTAATCTTCGGAAAACCGTCATTATAAAGATACATGTCCACAATTGTTCTCATGTCATCAAGATTCTCTAACCGATGGATTAATATAGCCTCGTCGACGAAGCGATGCGCATCTATATTACGATCAAAATGTAAATCGTGGAAAGGGTTTTCGGGAAAATTTCGAACCAGCCCGCGGCTATGAGG